GCACCTCCATTGCCATACCTCCATCGCATGCCTCCTGTCGCCCTGAGCTGTGGCTCTCTGCGCTTTCCTCTGGGCCGAGGCACTCTTGGGCCGAGAAACTCGGCCGCGCGGCTTCCCGAGCGGTTGGATCCGGCAGCCTATGGCCACGGAAGAGGTGAGAGAAGAGAAGAGAAGAGAAGAGGATGGCTGAGGATGGTGTTTGATGGAGTGTGAAGTGGCTGCACTTCCGAGGCTAGAGGCCGATCGGAAGGATGCGCCTTCAGAGGACCCGGCGGGACGCGGAAGTGTGGAAGGGTGCTTGGCCCAATCTCCACAGCACAGGCGACGGATCCAACCGATCCGAAGTACCAAGTTCCCGCAGGGCTGCCACCCGGCTCGAAGGCAGGGGACCAGACTTGACTTCGGCCTCGTACGGTCAGCCGGGTTCTGTTCTGTTCTGCAAGGCTTCTGTTCACGAGTTCAGTGGTGCCTGCCTTGCATTCGTGAGGTAGTCGGCTTCCGCAAATTGCCTTCCCCGCACACAGATGAAGCGCTCCAGGAGTGAGCGTTTGCAGCGCAGAGCTTGTTTCTGCAACTTGGAAGAGCTCTTTTGCATTCTGCGACAGGAGATACCCCAGGCGGCTGCCACCGTGTTGCCTTGTCAAGAGTGCCCGCTGCATCTCCCGCTGTCGTGTTGTGTCCTGAAGTCAGCCTGAAATGTCCGTGAGCAGTCGCCGACCGAAGCCGCAAACGTGTGTTAGTTCTCTAGAGGCATCCGGCCGAGTTGTTCACTCCAATGCGATCCTGCAGTGTGTCCCCCAGTATCCAACCGCATAGGAGCAAGTTTGACTCAGAGTACAGCACCACCGTCGACTGGGGCTTCGTGACAGCACTGTCTTTGCGTCCCACTCCGACTGTTTTTCGCTGCAAGTCTAGTGGTGCGAAATCAAGGCCGAGCCGCGTCTACTCGACGCAGCCCGCGGATGTTTACCCCGCCGAGGGTGTGTGCGCCGTGCTACACTTGACACCCTGACCTGAACGACGCATGGTGCTTTTGCTGCTTCGACGCTGCTGCACATCAGTCAACCTTGCAGGTACCCAATCGTACGAGCGCCTATGGGGGTGGCGGCGAACCTGCTTGAGAGGTTCGCTCCGGTGTCTCACGGATGGCGCTGGATTTGACGTGCGGAAGCATCAAGTCATCTGTGGGAGTTCTGTGGGCAGGCCATTGACTGAGGCAAGTGCCGCGCACTGGACTGCCCCGGAGGACTTCGGTGAGGCCCAAAGCCGAAAGCCGTTTTTGATCCAAAGCGGCTAGATGTGTTCGACTCTCAAGGAAGTTGCTGTTCGAAAACATGCTACATGAGTCTCTTGCTTTTTGTTCACCAAAACGATGTGGCCCACCACCTGTGAACTATCGACTCTTGAGCTTGCTTTATCCTCGATAGTGTCCCTCTTCGCAATAATGTTCGGTTGTGCAAGGAGTACTAGTCAAGTCTTACTAATCTTTGAGTCTGTTCGCACTTTCCTCATCCTGTTCTGACCAGGCTCCGTACTGTGCGAACTTGAGTTTGAGGCGCTTTTGCCATCAAAACAAAACGTCGGCTAAGGTTTTTTGTACTTGCTTTCCGCGATTCTTTTTCTTGCTGTGGTACGCATCCTTGCTTTCGCCCATCTGTGTTGTCTTTCGCGGAAAACTCCCGGATGTTCAGTGCTTCTCGTTGGCTCTTACTCATGCCAGCTTCGACTGTCTTCAGAGGTGCTTGGTGGTGAAAGATCCAGCTCCTGTTGTTGCCCCGATGCTGACTCATGGCATACTGCCAGCCTTGGAAGAGAAGCAACCACATCTGCGACGACAGCAGCTCCCACTACAGCTGCAGTCGGATGAACAACAGCAGCACCATCAGCTACAACACCAATAGCAACATCGGCACAGCGACTGCGACTTTCAGCATCGCAGCTCAAGTTAGCTGCGCTGCAGGGTCGAAGCTACCTCCGGGCAGCCTCCGAGCTCCGAGCTGAGATCTCTCATGTTGCTGATGGCTTGCCAGAAACACCTTGTTTTGTTGTGATGAGTGCTATGGGTATCAAAGTACTAGTTACTATTACCGTACTAAGATGGTGCTCGCTATCTCGCCATTGTCATCATCGTGTTAAATTTCTGTGCCGTTCCCTGAAGCGGTGAGGTCTCAGCCGTCAGAGGTCAGAAGCAGGAATCTGAGTTGACGCTTCTTGCTTATTCATCGGCCATCCTTTTTTGAGGCAAGTTCACGCCGTGTGAACTCTGTTAAGGCCAGAGACCTTCGGACTCGGTGAACAAGCAGGAGCAATGGAGCATGTCGAATTACGTCTGCTTGACGTGTGTGTGTGTGTGTGTCTTCGTGCAAATGTGTCTGGTCTATGTCGTGCGTGAGCTGTTCATGAGCTCGTCCAAACTCAGGAAGGGCTTCTTCAAAAGCACACCGGGTGCATCAAGCCGACTCGATTGAAAGAGAAGCTTAACCCAACCCAGCCACGTGTATGTTTGTTCCGTACCATGGTTGAATTTTCAAACGGAGATTTCTGTTGCTATTCTTCATGGACGTTTCCCCAAACAGCAGAAAAAATCGGGTTGCGCAGGCCTCCCCCTTTGCAGATGAGGCAGCGCGAGCGATAGCAGCTTGGACAGTACTGGAAAAACCTTCGAAGGCTCAAGAATTGGAGCAAAGAGGTAGGGGGTCTTGAGATGGCAAAAACAGAGCCATAAGGAGGAACGGTGGATGTGCAAGTTTTGAAACGGAGCTTTAACACCCCAAGCCCAATGCGATGTTGCCGCTTCTTCCTGGCTTCCATGCAGTGTCGCCTTCCCTGCCATGCGAAGGTCGGGCTCCTTCACGGGCCCGCAAAGTGAGTGTCGCTATTCCTCGTTGTTGATAATGATCGCGGCAGTTGCCCACCAGCTTAAGATGATTTGAACTTCCATAAACATTGCCACAGCGAACATGCAAGCCATGCTATAAATGTTGGAATGCAAAGATTTGGAGCAATGCTGGCGAATCGGTGCCGGCAAAGCGATGCTACAACGGCTCCGACCAGTTTGTTGCCTAGCACTACTTGTACCACTACCACCACCACTGCTGCTACAACTACTACCTCTACTAAAATTACCACTACTACCACTACTGCCACTACTGCCACAACTACCACTACTACCACTGCTACCACCACTACCACTACTACCACTACTACCACTACTACCACTACTACCACTACTAACTACTGCTACCACTACTGCTACCATTACTGCTGCTACCACTACCACTACCACTACCACTACCACTACCACTACCACTACCCCTACCACTACCACTACCACTACCACTACCACTTCTGCCACTACTACTACCACTACCACTACTACCACTACTACCACTACTACCCCTACCCCTACTACCACTACTACCACCACTACCACTACTACCACTACTACCGCTACTACCACTACTACCACCACTACCACTACTGCCACTACTATTTCTACTACTACTACTACTACTACTACTACTACTACTTCTGCTACTACTACTACTACTACTACTACTACTACTAATACTATACTACTACTACTACTACTACTACTACTACTACTACTACTACTACTACTACCACTACCACTACCACTACCACTACCACTACCACTACCACTACCACTACCACTACCACTACCACTACCACTACCACTACCACTACCACTACCACTACCACTACCACTACCACTACCACTCCTACTCCTACTCCTACTCCTACTCCTACTCCTACTCCTACTCCTACTCTTACTCCTACTCCACTCCTACTCCTACTCCTACTCCTACTCCTACTCCTACTCCTACTCCTACTCCTACTCCTACTCCTACTCCTACTCCTACTGCTACGACGACGACTACTACCACCACTACGACGACGACGACTACTACTACTACTACGACGACGACTACTACTACTACTACTGTTGATGCTGCTGCTCCTACCACTACGACGACGACCCCTGCCTCCACCACTACTGCCAGTTGTGGTCCGACCATGGGTGGAACAACTCGCAGCACCGCGAGCGAACTAGAGCTTGCAACAATGCATCGATTTGTGACGCCAAAACCGCCGTTTTGCGGTCCCTTGCCACAGCTGCATCACAGGGAATTTGAGTAGGTTTTCTTCCCACGGCCTGTAGCACCCAGGCACGTGCAGTCTAGGAATGACTTGGAGACTTCCAGGTTGTAGAGTGCTGAAGAGGTCATTGTTTGATACGGATGGTGTGAATGAAGCCTCTCGAAGTGTCGCGCAGCTCTACTTGCTTGTCGGGGTTGGGATTTGTAGCGACCGTGTCGGCACGTCCCTAAAGTGATTCCGTCGGGTGTCATCCAGCCGTCTTGCGTAGGAATGCACATCAACGAGATTCCTCTGATTCGTTTACGATGATTAGTAATATAGCTATCATTATTAGTAGAAATATAGTCATTACTATTGCCACTATTCTGTTATTCTACTTGCTGACGGGTGCTCCCGAGATGATCAGTCCCGAATGCACGCTCTGTCTTTCCCAACTCCGCAGCTGCTGGCGGCTCCAGAGGGAGCATGCCTCTTCCATACAGACACCGCCCGCGCCCGCCAGCAAGACAAGGCCGCGAAAAGAGCAGTTGTTTTGATAAGCCCGATGCCAACTTAGCCACCTCCCTTCAAAGGTGCCAGAATTGCCGGGGACATTTGTAGAGTGGTAGGGCAACCACGGGTCATCGGGCTAGCGGCTAGCGCATGCTGATACAGACACCCCTATCGTCCTTGGGGCAGCGGTTTCAATATATCTTCCATATGTCAATGTTTCCGAGGTAGGTTGTGGGGCCCGACGGCTGTTCCTGCAGGCTGTGTGCATCCGGTGCCAGCCGCTGCCGTCTTGTTTGCGGCCTCAGCAAGTGGCAAGCAGTACGGCTGTTGTTTTGACTGCTTTGAGTTTGGCTGCTTCGAGCATGTTGTGCTTGTGCGAGGTAGCCATGGGGCAGGTCATGGGCATTATCATCGGTGCTTTCTCTCAGGCCTACAGCACATATTGCAGGTGCAAAGCCACTGCACATCAAGAGCATTCCACCTGGACTCGCCAGTTCTGTCTTGCGACCAGTGGCCCATTAATTGTCCCGTCCGTAGTGGCACACTGTGGAGAACTTGCAGTGCGGAGCTTCGCCAGTCTTGGAAACACAACTGTTGTGTGTCGTCTGCCAGGGGACTGAAAGCCCACCTCTTCCTGCTTCCTGCCTAAAGAAAATGCAATTGGAAGGCTCAGCCCGACCCGCTGGAGAATTTGCGGCTGGCGGTTGAGCGTGCAGAGGCTGCAGGTGTCGAACAGGACGGGGCCGTAGACACTGCAGACCTACATGCTGTCATGAATTTGCGGATCGTGAAGCTGCAAGCGAGGTCCTTGAGCTCTTGCCGATCGGTGCTTCATGGTTCTTGTCTCCCGGAGGATACGCTCGATGATGTGAGGACGAAGCTTGCAGAGCTGGAAAACGAAGTCGGAAAGGACCCATTTCACTCAATCCTTCGTATGATAAGACTGCTACAGTGGGACATTGCGGTCGGTGGGCTGAGCCACGGCTTGCTGTCCGCCAGGAACTTTCGATCTCGGTTCGGCATGCTGTAAGTGGGGAAACGCTCACAGTGGTGCGGCCCTTTGAAAGGGATGGCAGCGGGCCCAGTGTAGGGAGATTTCAGCAGATCAGGTACGAGCAAGACCGTCGGACACGCCCGCCTACCTGCGAGAGCATGTGCTGAGAGCCACCGGCATGGGTCTCAGGAAAGGTCTGCACTGATTTGCTGATTCTGGATTCCGTTTGACTCACGAGACTATGCTGCACAAGCTGCTATACTGCAGCGCCCTTCTGATGCAAGGTGACGGGGGTGTGGCTCTTCATTTCCTTTTCCAGTCGCAGGCATCGCAGACTGGTGATGTAACACCTTGTTTCCAAATTGTAGACTGGTCTTGGCGGCGGCCTCGCATGGTTTTGAGGAAGAAATGTTTCAATGCTCGCAGCAGAGCATGAACCGACTTACAGGGCATGTTTGAATGAATGTTCCTGTAGCACGCCACCAGTGTCACAAGAACACGCAGAAGAACATTTCGTCGTGCGGTCATTATCACCTCCGATATTCTGAGCTTGTTCATGGGGTCGCCCCAAGAACAAGCCACCCCAAACAGCTGTACAAGAACTTGGTGCAATTAACCCTGAACTCCAAACCCGCTACCATCAACCCTAAACTCCTAAACTTAAACCCTAAACCCTAAACCCTGAACCCTGAACCCTGAACCCTAAACCCATACCGTCAACCCGAAAGTCAAACCAAAAAGCCCACCGCCTAAGCCCTTTCTCTCCGCAGGTCTTGGACGAGAAGGTCAGCCTCCGAGACTCCGGCCTGGAGCCCATTATTCTTACTCTTGCCATTATTGCTAGTAATTTTAACGCTACGCCGCCCGCCTCGGCTCTGTAGTGGCAGGGCGAGGGTCCCGGCTTATTGTATACCTTCTGGTCACCCTAAACCCTAAACTAAACCCTAAACCCTAAACCCTAAACCCTAAACCCAAACCCTAAACCCTAAACCCTAAACCCTAAACCCTAAACCAGACAGGCAGTGGATTGACGCAAAAGCCAAAGCGGGGGCGAGGAAGACGAAACGAGGGTGGAGAGAAGAAGTGGGAGCAGGAAAGAGGGAAGAAAAAGGGGGGAGGGGGGGGGGGGGGGGGGGGGGGGGGGGGGGGGGGGGGGAGGGGGGGGTGAAACCATAAACCTCTAAAGGGGTAGCTCTAACAGGTACCTACAGCAATGGCTGCATGCTCATACATATACATTCCGCTGCCCATTGGCTCACAGTGGTTTTACCATATTGAGACAAGACAAGCTCTCCTTGCGTAGCAAGACAAAACAACTACTGTCCGTGTGCAGGGCGCTGCCCTTTGATCCTTAGGGAATAACTGGTCATACACCTCCTTACAAGGAGTATCCCTTGGGGGTGTATCGGCACAGTTTTCTGGTAGCGGAGCCCGGAAAGGGCCGCCCGCCTCACAAAGTCCGCTACAGCGGTCGGCCTCGCCGAACGCTTAACCAAGCGGATAAGAGGCAGCACAATGTCGAGCTCGCATAGCGAAGCCGACGGCAGTTCCCAATCCTCCGGGGGATATGAGAACGAAGAGACCTCCCAAGGTCCAGCTACTTATGTCGCACAGTCATATGCAACATCTGACCGCATGCTTGCATCATTAGGCATAACGCCCAAGATCGCGCCTGCCTATGATGGCACCACCTCGTGGTTTGAGTATGAACAGTTGATTGACGACTGGTGCGACATAACAACGCTGGATGACACCAAAAGAGGTCCGTCTCTCAAGACGAGGCTCTCCGGATTGGCCGCAGTACAAAAAGAATCACTCAACCGAGAAAGGCTTGCAGCCCCAGATGGAGTAGATTACTTCAAGAAGAAGATGCGTCCATTTTTCGTGAAAGGAGAACAGTACGTTTTCCTGTGGCGTTTCCTCGGCCTATTCAAGGCATGGAAGGGCAACCAAGACTTTGTGACTTGGATTGCTAAGTTTGAGATCGTGCTACAGCGCGTGAAAAACTCATGGATGGATCTCTTACCAGAGATAGCTCTGGAAGATGCCCATCCAGATTTCATGCAGGCTGTGCAGGCAGATCAAACCTTCTTGCGCCTACAGGATGCAACCGAGAGAGACACATACGCCGCACGTTTCTTCGAAACATGGAACAAGGAACGCCTTGATAATCATCGAAGAGCGTTTCCTCTAAATGATAATCTCCTAGCTCTCCTCTTCCTAGTGCAGTCCGACCTAAATGAGATGCAACGTGAGAGGTTGGTAACAGCATTGACCAACCAAGGTTACCGAATTGAGACCTACACGTACCCTATAGTACGGCAGACCATGTTCGATCAGTTCTCAACGACCAGAACTGGTCTGCAGGATCCCAATATTCGGCACACTTCTCACAAGAAGGACCGCCATGGAAGGAGAGATCAACGCCGCAAACGCGGAGGTCGAAACTTCCTCATCCTCGATCAGGGTGAATACGACGGAGTCGATGGATTCTGGCTTCAAGACGAAGACACCCTTGAGGAAGGCTTTCTTGCCGCCGAGGATGAAGAAGCTGTCTTCTGGACAGTTGACGACCATGAGGCCTTCGTTGCAAGGAGATTCAAAAAGGGAAGAAGACCAAGAATGCGTCCCGGATCACCGGGAAGAGCAAAGGGTGGCAAGCGAAAAGGACGTGGCCGTTTTAGGTCATACCGCGGAAAAGGGAGAGCCAACCAGGCAGAACATGATCCAACTGATTCCAGCTATTTCGGTAAAGGTAAAGGAAAAGAAAAAGGAAAAGGTGGAAAAGGCAAAGGAAAAGGAAAGGACAAAGGAGATAAAGGAAGCTCCTTCAAGGGTACAAAATCAAAAGGCAAGGGTAAGGATACAGCTAAGTCTGCCTCCTTACAAGGAGACCAAACTGGATCTCCACAGGCCTATGAAAGTTCCACCGCACCGAGCTGGGATTCATGGTATGAGGACAGTTATTATACTGACTCCAGTTGGAATTATGCCGCTTACGACGATCAAACGTCTTATACATACTATGCATCACAAGCCTCACGAAGAAAGACACGGAAAAAGAAGAGAAGAAATCAAGCAGGATCATCAGGTAGAGGCACAGATCCGAGCGCGCACCAAGAACCCGTGTACAACTCATCAGTGAGTTACGTGCCCCAGGTCTTTGAACCATCCGAGGGGCAAGGTGTGGAGACTGCAACAGCAGTGTTTCCGTTGCAGCACACCGTCCTATCTGCTCTCACAGAGCGGATCAATCTTGATAAGAGCCCTACCTTTGTCATACTTGACTCAGGTTGTACTAGGGCTATGGGTTCCCGCTATGCGGTGAACAGGCTTATCAAGGCCGTGAAGCAACATGCCCCAGGCATGATTGATTTCACTTTTCACCTTCGAACACGAAGTTCTCTTTCGCAGATAGTGAAACAGCTCTTATCAAGGAGCGTGTAACTCTATGGTTCAACACAACTCCAAGAAGAGATACAACCATAGAAGTTCTGGATCAGGGGAGAGTTCCCATTTTGTTCTCCATTGAACAGATGAGAAATCTAAGAATGACCCTCGAGTGTAGTCCAACAGCTGACCTAGCAACGTGTGAAGCTTTCGGTTTGTATAAAACCCCTCTTCCGATTAGTACCAATAACCATTTGGTATTGGACCTTCTAGGCTTTACTTCCACCAGGAAGTACCTCCCTAAGTCAGGTACGTCGTTCAGTGCGACGGAGACTGCTCTAGGAGCCAATAAGCCTTATACTAGGATACCGGAAGGTCGCTGTCCAGCCTGTGCCGGACAGAAAAGGGCTCACACGTACCTTAAGGGTTGTGACAAAGCACCTGAGGGAGCAGCTGATCCACCACCGAAGAGGATTTCAGGTAAAAAGAAGCCTCTTCCTTCTGATCCGGCAGAATCATCTGCCAAGAAACCTGATCCACCAGAACCATCTGGTGATGTTCCTGAGCCTTCCGGACCATCGGAACCATCATCAGGTTCGAGGGACAAACCTGCAGAATCCTCTGCACCACATGAACCTCCAGAAGGAGAAAGACTTGAGGTCCCACCTGCAAAGATAAAGACTCCAAAGGGTCTTAAAAACCTTTTGAAGAAATCCCGCAAATATGCGGTTAAATCTCCTGTTGAAGAGAAGTCTAAGGTCCCAGGAGCTGATGACGGGACGGAGGTAAGACCACTTGAGTCAAGAGAATACCCGGCTCCTGGTACAGACTCACCTACAGGTGAAGAGATTGTCGCAGAACCTCGCCATCTCTTCCCATTGCTCTTCGCAGGATTCATGAGAAGCTTAAGGACCCTGTAGAACTCTATAAGCTTCACCTCAAGCACCGTCATATGAGTACGGATCAGTTCAAGCGACGCACAAAGGCCTTACAGATCCCAAAGGAGATATACGAGCTATATGACCAACTGGTCAAAAAGTGCTCAGCCTGCCAGGAACATGTGAGAGCTCCTTCGAGAGCGAAGATTTCTGGTTTAAGATCAGAGACTTTCGGTGATCTCACCTTCGTAGATCACGGTGAGCTTCCAATTCCCGGCAAGGATAGTCGCTTAGTATTTCTTATTCTCTATGATGGAGCAACAAACTTGTTGACTGCCGAAGTAGTCCAGGATAAAGAAGAACATACTACAATGTCGATTATGAATGACTACTTTGAGAAATTTCAGATCAACCCAAAGGTTGTAGTTGGAGATCAAGCATTCATGACTCCAAAAATGGAGGCTTATTACAATCGGCAGAATATCAAGCCTGTGGCAACAGGACCTGGAACACCATGGCCCAACAGGGCCGAAGCTGCTGTAAGATTGCTGAAGCATCAGATTAAGCTCATACTTCAGATCCTGAAGGATGGTGACCCGCAGTATAACGGAATCACCATGAAGTATGGCAACCTCGTTCGCCAAGCATGTTTGGCAAGAAACTCTTCGATTACCTACGGAGGAGTTACTCCTTTAGAAATGGCCTTTGGAAGGCGTCCTCGAGATGTTATAACACCAGAGAACGCTGATCCCAATCAGTTGACAGGTAATCCAACTGATACGGAAGTCACTGCGAGAGCCATTAAGGAGCTTGCCAACAGGGCTTACCAAGAGGCACGCCAATCTGATGATCTGCGTAGAGATCTTGCAGCCAGACTGTCAATGACCCAAGGACCTTTCTCTTTGGGAGATAAGGTTTTCTACTGGTCAGAAGATAAGTCTAAGATTGGATCCACTGGGTCCAAACATGGATCTTGGCTAAAAGGAAAGGTGATCTCCGAACTCGGAGGATCCATGGTAGGTGTGGATCTTGGAACACGCATCGTCCGCGTCAATATCTCAAAACTGAGGAAAAACTATGACATAACATCTGATGTGGAGATTCCTCTCGCGCCTGATGAGGAAACTCTGACGTCAGAAGGTTCTGACCACGCAAGTTGCATGGTCAC